AATCTGCTCCTGATGATCTGGTGAATAGTGAGTAGTCTGATTTTGATTACTTAAATCCGAGTTGCATCAAAGAATCTGTAAACTTTATATTCCATTGCCTCGATGCCTGTTTTAGACCATATAAGGATTTTTGGAGTTTGCACACTAATTTTTCAGATTCACATTTCTGCATTATGTTACACTGCATCATGTTACCTTGCATCATGTTACCAGATTTACATCCCTTCTCCCCCTTAATCTGGTAACCTTGAGGAATTTCCATATACACATCCTTCTCCAAAGTGCCATTAAGAAAGGCATTATTTACGTCAAGTTGAGCTAAATGCCATCCATTAATTGCAGTAAGAGAAAGAAAAACTCTGACTTTTGTATGCTTAACAACCGGGCTAAAAGTTTCCTGGTAATCAAATCCTTCTCTTTGATTGAAACCTTTTGCAACAAGGCGAACCTTGTGTCTTTCTAGAGACCCATCTGAATGATACTTGGTTTTATAAACCCATTTGCATCCAATAGCTTTGTGTCCAACAGGTAAGTGTTGATGGTCCAAGTTTCATTGGCTTCTAAGGCGGCAAGTTCAGAATTCATGGCTTCAATCCAATGATCAAAACACTTGGCTTGCTCAAAGGTCAGAGGGTCAGGAAGTGAAGAAATGGATAGAACTAGTTGTTTGAAGGATGAAGAAAGCTTATTGTATGAAATGTGATCTTGGATTGGATGAACAGTGACAATAGAGGAAGATGGAAATTGATCTTTGTCTTGGGGTGTGATGTGATAATCTTTAAGGTATGATGGGAGTTTGGATATTCTGGAACTTTTTCTGAGTGAAGGAATATAGGTAGAGGCGTCTGAGGTTTGTATTTCAGTAGAATTGTCACTGCAACCATTGGTATTTGTGTCTGATGAATGCTGGTCAAATGAAGTGGGAAAAGAAGAATCTTGATTGGTATAATCAGTGTTTGTATCAGGAATATAAGGAAAGACAAAGTTAGGAAGAGAAATTTCAGAATTTGACTTTGCCTTTTGAAAAGGAAAAGATGTTTCATGAAACTCGACATCTCTGGAAAAGAAAATAGATTTTGAATCAAGATCATACAGTTTATATCCTTTAATTGTGGAAAAATATCCAATGAATACACAAGATTTTGATCTAGGATCAAATTTTCTTCTATGATGAGCAAGATTTACAGCAAATGCTAGACATCCAAATGACCTGAGGTGTGAGTACTGTAGTTTCTGTTTATATAGAAGTTCATAGGGTGTTGAGCCATTTAGTATATGAGTTGGTGTTCTATTGATCAGATATACGGCGGTAAAGACAGCATCTCCCCAGAACTTGATAGGCAATAAGGAATGAAAAAGTAAGGATCTAGCAATGTTGATGATGTGTTGATGTTTTCTTTCGACAACAACGTTTTGTTGAGGCGTGTAGGGACAAGATGTTTGATGTATGATTTCATGAGAATTATAAAAAGTAGGAAGAAAGAATTCCAACCCATTGTCTGATCTAATGATCTGAATTTTGGATTTAAACTGAGTATGAACAAAATTATGAAACTGAGGTAATATGTGTGATACATCTGATTTGTGTTTCATGAGGTATGTCCAAACGCCTTTTGAGAAGTCATCAACAATGGTGACAAAATAATGGTTCCCAGAAATATCAGATTCAGAATAAGGACCCCACACATCAACATGTACAAGTTGAACTAACTGTGTAGTTTTATTGATATGAATTGGAAAAGGAAGCCTTTTTGTTTAGCTCGAGGACATGTAGTACATATTGGAATTTCAGGACTTATTACATTAGGAATGAGAGTAGAAATCTTATGCATAGGTATATGTCCTAATCTATGGTGCCATACATCAATGGTCACCTTACAGACAGATTTACATTGAGATACTACAGAAATGTCTTTTAATTTTGAAGGAAGTATAGAACTTGTATGAGGTTGATAGGATTGATGTAGGTAGAAAAGTCCTCCTCTCATTTCAGCCAACCCAATCGTCGTCCATGAGGAAAGGGCCTGGATAAAACAATGATGAGACAGAAAGATGAAACACAGCTGGGATTTGAGGTTTGCTAACAGACATTAGATTGAATGTGAAAGAGGGCACAAGTAATACATTGTGCAGACTTAGCAATAGATTAAGAATAACAGTCCCAACATGGCTAACTTGAATTTTGTTTCCATTAGGAAGATAGACAGATAAATTTGATACTGAGATGTAAGAATCAAACAGGTCTAAGGAACATATTATATGATCAGTGGCTCCTGTATCAACAATCCAAGGTATCTCACTGAATTTTGATGTGAAAAGTGTTTGGAGTTTATTTGTATTTTTGTGAGAAAAGATAGAAGAGACATCACCTGCACAATTGATTGAAGATAAAGAAGGATTTGAAGTATTAGCATTGCCAATAGTGTTCTGATCAGAGATGAGAGCCATGAGTCTTTGAACCTGATCCTTGGAAAGACTGAGATTCGATGCTTGAATTCCTTGAGTATTATCTTGAGCAACATAAGTTTGATTGACAGTTCTTGAATTCTGATAAGGCTGCTTTGATCTGGTAAACTTGAAATCTGGTGGAAACCCAATGATCTTGTAACAACGTTCTTTGATGTAACCCAATTTTCCACAATGATAACATACTCTATCTTTGTCTGGATTTTGTCCTCTTTTGACAGCCATAGCAGCCCCCCATTGAAATGTTGTGACTGAATCAGTAAACTTCTTTGATTCTCTTCCCTTAAAATCATATTATATACTTGATCTA